ATATATATATTATATAAATATATATGATATATATATATAACATATATATTATATATGATATGATAATAGATATAATATTGTATATCCATATAAAATATATATATATATTATTATATATATATTATAATATATATATATAATTATAATATATAGTATATGTATATAAACATATATATGTTCATCTATCTATATATTCATATGTATATGATATATACATATATATATATATATATATTATAATATTATATATATATATATNATATATATGTATATATATATACCTACATATATATATTACCTAGCCCCTATTTAGGGGTTGTTATACTACTTTTTGTATAAGTCACTGGATAATAGATTTATATTCCACTCTCTCAGGAGCGGGCTCAGTGTTATGGATATAATACTTCCTAGTTTTGCATATGACAATTATATCTCAATATAATTTCAATTGGTTACAATAAACACAACGTAAATTTACACTTTTAATGTAATTACTTACGTATACAGTGTTGGTTATGCTCGTCTCCTGACAAGCTGATAATTCCCCTTGGAATTGTTTATACTCGTCTAAAGGCGAGCTGATGATTTCCCTTGGAATCCGGAATTCAGTAATTATAACCAAAAAGCTAAATTCGCTTTGGATTAACCGTCACGGCGTCCACGCACGATTAAGGTTGAAACTGAACTGGGGCACGAGTGCCACACAGGCGCCCTGGCCTCTCCTGACCCTGCTGACCCAGCGCTGAGCATAGTGGTGCCGTTGTTTACAAGACCTGTAGATTATCACCTCTATGTTCCCGAGACACAGTGTCTATAGTGCCTTGTAAAACATTAAAGGCCTATCCCCTCCATGGGATCAACACCACACTCTGTAGCTTCAATGGAATGTGGAGCTCCCTTGAACTACCATTCCATCTACCATACAACCAGTGGAAACCATTTCCATGGTGTATAATGGTCTCTTTGGGTCAGGATTACCTTTAAAATAATACTACTATAAGTCTGGCCGTTGACATGCTCCCCCACTGAAATCACACGTCCTCGGGTGACCTATGATTTCCTGAGAAAACCACCAATCGGTCTTAGTAGGAGGCTGTCAGAACTTTAAAGTAGTATCCGTTGACATAGTCCCCCTAGGTCTACGTGCATACGGTGAGTGGGAGAGGTTGCAGAGCTGGGCCAACCAATGACTCAATCGCCCTTGACAATGATAACCTCTTATCTCTCTCCTGCCTCAACCGCTTCCAGAGATATAAGGTAAAGCAAAGGCTAATAATAATCAAAATAGGTCCCAAGATTACCCCAACCCATGAGTTAACCTGAGTAACATAATGATGATCTGTCCGACCAAACAGAACAGCATTATCCTGGTCTATGGAGGCAATTGCCTTCACAAGGCCATTTATTGATGCATTAACCTTATCCAAATTTGCTTTTGACTGATTAAAATGATCATGAACTACCCTTAGATCTCTGGACAAGATGGGTTCCATAACATCTTGTAATATTTTATCATACTCCGAGAAATTAGTGTGGACTGAGGTAAAGTCATAACCAGTGGATACACTTTCCCTTCGACTATAAACTGTTATTCCCTTGTTTATAACAAGTGCACAGTCTCCCGGAAAATGCAAATACCCTGTTCCTTTGAGCTCTATGGTACGTCTACTACCGCTTGAACATTTTAACAATGCTGGTGTAGTCCTGTTAACAGAATAAAGTAGATCACCGAGATCATTATAGACCTTAAAGATTGGCGTGAACCCTTTCACCCATTCTGTCTTGCATACATTAGGGATACCATTGCTTCCCCCTGGAAGTCTTTCTAACATACATACACACGATTCAGTCACACTGATCGGCGATGTTAAAGCTCTGGGACACAAAATGAATTCCTTTGATTTCATGCACCCATCTAGCATTCCATTGCTAAACTCTATAACCTCAGAGTCTGTTTGAGCTATGTTACTTGGTAAACCCTTTAATGCAACTAGTCCTTTTTCTGTTTGCATTGGAGTTGATAGTACCTCTGTCAACTCCCACTTGACTGGTTGGGGAATATGGAGTGTAATGGTGAAGATTAACTCATAACCACACCTAACCAATTCCATTTTGGCAAAATCCTTAATTACATCTCCAAAAGATGCTCCCAACGTATTCCCTAATGCCTGTAGAACCTCTTCTACACCGCATCAGTTAACAACCGAGGAGACACGTGACCTGTCAATGCCATTAATATGACCTCACAAGCCGCTGAACTTCCTTATCAAGTGACCCGATAATGGCTTCCAAATTATCCATTTTTTCATTCCACTGAACCTCCCAATTAACCTCCCCAATTTGCCTATTCAAATCAAGTGAAAGTTTCCTTACATGAGAGTCGAGCCGTGCAACCTCCTTAGTTGTTAAGTCAAGTGTATTGGCCATATCCTTTAACACAGTAAACTGCTGTGATAAATGATGTTTTATAGCCACCGTTTGAGCTCCTAAACGTTTAACCTCAGCCCCACTACGGTCATCTAAGAGTCCAAACATCGAATGAAGAAGTCTTCCAACCCCGTCAAATAGGCTTCTTTTCACCCGACTTTTACAATGTTGGCTCTCTTTAACTCCCGTTAAAACCTCTCTGAAACCTTTGTCATAAACGCCAGTCTATGCCCGACTAAACGCATTCTAGCTTCTCCATGAGCTGAAGAGTTTTCTCTCTTGACGACGGTAGATATTACTTCTAGTGACGTCTTGAGCCGTTCCAGAGTCTCGGAAATGGGTCCTAGGTCTTGATATTGCACAACCTTCCAGTGGATATTCTCGGTGAGAACCTTCTCCTCTCTACTAATAAGGGCTACCCCCGGCCGAAGAAGAGGTGGATTGCTCTCCGCCTGACAAACCATCCACAGGCAGGCTCCCAGGATCAGCATGCACATCCCTCCCAACATGGTTCAATATCTGCAAGAAGCATAACATTTTAATTCCATGTTGGTAACCACCACGTCCTTTCCAACAAAATGTTTATGTAAAATACGTGTTGGTGTGTCATGTGGTCATATGTGATCATGTCTAGTTATGGTTAGTTCTACTATGGTCCCTCGTGCAACTGTGCATAATATCCGGGTCCATACTTTGTACGTCCGCTAGTACGTCTCCCATGCATAGGTTCCCTACCCGCATGCTCAGAACTAACATTCCTCCCATGAGTTTCATTCATTCCATCATTCATTCTGCTTTCGCCCTCAGCGTTATTTGCAGAAGCATTGTTGGAATCTGTATTGTTTGTGATATCCATTCTCATCTTACAACAATTATTGGCTGTTCCTGGAATAGACTCTTTATTGAATTCATCCTCCACAATTACATCCGGTCCCTCATCCTCTTCCCATGAAGGTTGAGCTTCCGTCCTTTGCACCGTTTCGGCTCCATCGCCAACTGGTCTAGGATAATTCATAAGGTACTCCATTTCCCTTTTGTCTTCTTCCTCCGGACTGCCTTCAGGGATGATAGACTCCTCGTCTGGTCTCATCTCCGGATATGGTCTCCTAGCTCTTGGAGCTAGTGCTCTTGGTATGGTTGCTTCCAAAGCCACCTTCATATTTTCCAAATGGACTTCTCTAAACTCCCTAGTTTGCAAGTCTCTTAACTGATAGACATAGGGTTTTACCTCCTTGGTAACCCGGTATGGTCCTTCCCATTTGGGTGATAATTTTGTATCCCCTTTCTTTCTAATGGCTTTCACAAAAACTCTTGTGCCTTCCCGTAGTGAAGTGTCCTTTGATTTCTTCAATCGAGTTCGACACTGTCTATCTGCTGCCCTTAGCAGATTGTCTCTCACATATTCATAGACTTCTTGAGATCTTCGGGTTCGTGTTGCCACGAAGTCCTCACTGGGTAGTCTATAACTTGTGATGGGTCTTGTCCACCATTCCGCATCCCTACCAAACATCACATAGTATGGCGTATCTCCAATAGCACTATGATAGGCTGAATTCAAGGCTAACTGTGCCTCTGCTAAATACTGGTCCCAGTAGTGTTCTTTACCTTCCACTAGACCACGTAAGATGCTTAATACCTGCTGATTTGTCCTCTCACAGAGTCCATTTGATGCAGGGTGATATGCCACAATCTGACGATGATCATACCCTAAGGTCTTCGCCATGCATCTTAGAAGTTTATTCCTGAATTCCCTTCCTTGGTCAGTTAAGACTGTCTTTGGGACTCCATATTGCAGGAATATTGGATAAATACTCTTAGCTACTGCCTCTGCGGTTTTATCAGGGAGTGCTTCCACTACCGCAAATCTGGTGAGGAAATCCGTAACCACCAGTATGTACTTATTTCCCCCTTCCGTAAGGGGAAATGGTCCCATCAGGTCCATAGCTAGAGTCTGAAAAGGTTCCTCTGGTACTGGATACCTTCTTAAAGGAGTTAAGGGATGGCCTCTACCCTTAAACCTTTGACATGTAAGACATTGTTGACAATACCTACTAATGTCTTTGTCCATTCCACGCCAAGTGAATAGTCTTTTAGCACGAAACTTGGTCCTTTCTTCTGCCCCATGGCCTCCCAGTGGTGCTAAGTGAACTAGTGCTAGGGCTTTAGGAACTAAGCTCCTAGGCACACAAAGTACTTCTTCGACTTCCCTCATCGAATTCCGGTGTTGAATCTGTTTGTAAAGTAACTCTTGGTCCATAAAGAAGTCCTTCACCTCCAAATTCGGGTCCACCTTCTTTCGATTGATTTCAGTCTTGTCCAGGAGATATCGGATTACAGGCCCATATAGAGGATCTTGTCTTTGCTCTCTGATCATTTCCTCTAATGACCACGGCGGTCCATCTTCCTCCTCGTCCTGTTCTTCCTCAATCTTCTCCCCTGATGATTCGACTGCCAGAATACAAACAATTTGACAATTCTCGGCTTCGTCGATAATCATTTGTGAGGTACGTTCCACCTCCTCGGCGTTGATTCCCTCAGGAACTTCAATCCGGGACAGAGCATCTGCTGCTGCGTTAAGCTTCCCTGGATGGTACATAATTTTTGCCCCCAAAGGATTGCGCAGTTAGAGCCCATCTCGTAACTCTCGCATTACCATCCTTCGCTTTGTGGAATAACCAATGAAGTGATCTGTTGTCTGACAGAACTACTACTTCTAATCCCCACACCAAGGGTTTAAACTTTTTTAAGGCCTCTATTATTGCTAGAGCCTCTTTCTCCAACCGACTTTCAGCTGCCTTCAGCTGTCGGCTGTAGTATGCAACTGGGCAAAAATGGCCCTCATACCTTTGAGCAAGTACTGCACCAATAGCTCCTTGACTGGTCAGTGCTAAGATACCATGTTTTCCTGAAATCAGGTGCTTTGAGTACTGGTTCCGTAACCAAGTTCTCTCTAAGAATAGTAAAGGCTTTTTCCTGTTCTGGATTCTTCGGCCACTTAACCCTAAGAATCTCCGTACCTCTTTACGGTTCTTGGGTCTTGGGAAATTGCGTACTGCCGCTAACTTGTCTAGTGCAGGCTTCACATTCCATGTCCCACTCTATGTCCAAGAAGATTAACTTCCTTCTGGAATAGGTGTGATTTCTCAGGACTAGCCTTTAGTCCAGCTTGTATCAGTCTCTGCAAAGCCTCTGCCAATATGGGTAAATGAGTTTTGATATCCTCACTATATATTGCAATCATCCAAAAATAATTGCAATCCCTTTCAATTTGACCACTGAACACTCTGTTCATAAGTCCTTGGGTTTGGACAATCCAAAAGGCATTACATTATATTCATAATGTCCCAGGTGAGTAGAGAATGCCGATCTCTCCTTAGATTCCTCGTCTAGTGGCACCTGGTGATATCCACTTCTCAAATCCAGTGTGGAAAACCATTTACTTTGACTGACTTGATACAAGATGTCTTCAATTAGAGGTAAGGGATAAAATTCGGGTCTCGTTTTACCATTAAGAGCCCTGTAATCCACACACAACCTTGGATGTGAATTATCCTTCCTCTTTACTAGGACAATTGGAGCATTCCATTCGGATGAACTGACCCTTATATGACCTTGATCCATTAAGGCTTGGACCTCTGCCTCCACGGCTGGTCGTACTGCATAAGGAATAAACCTGGGTGGTATATAAACCTTTTGTTCATCAACTGTGTCTATCCGATGACTAACCAAGTTTGTTTTCCCCAGTGGCTCCTCCTTCAAGTTAAAGGCTACCTGAAAGTCCCGCAAAACCCTTTCTGCGTCTTTCCTCTGGCTTGGAGATAATACCCACTCATCTGCCTTTAACTCTTTCAGTAATCTCTGAAAGCGATCCTCATCTAAAGTTGGGTCCTGACCTGCTTTCACCTGTTGAGGGTCGATCTGAAGTGCCTGTTCCAATGGGTCATCCTCATCTTCATTGTCCGGTATTTCAGTTATTACAGCATTTACTGTTAATTTAGCCAATGATTTTTGTCTTTCATTATGGCCCTTGTCCAAATTCCCACACAGTTCCACATCAGTATCTTCTATAGGGAATGCCTGGGCTATCCTCCGGTTTTGGTGGATTAGTACTGGTACCCTTCCCCAGTTACAAGCTAAGACCTTCACCTGATCCTCTGCTGTGCATATAACAGGAATGATAACACAATCTTCCTGTAATGGATTTGCTTTTATCATTATTGGAGTTCCATCCTCCAATTTTCCACCTTTTCTTTTAAGACATCCAAGTAACACAGCCTTACCTGGAGGTACAGTAATAGTTTCCAATGAAACCACTGTATATTCATGAGAGTTAATTTGATCCTCTGCCAAATCTTCCTTAGATTTCTTGCTCTGGTCCTCCAGACTCTCTTTTTTTTCTGGTCTGGTCTGGTGACTCCCTACCACTTTAGGTGATTGAACCGGTTTATGTCCCTCGTGGTTTACCATACCTTTCTGCAGGACTTTAGATCCTTGACAAATTCTCCATTTATCAAAATCTAGTATTAATTTATGCTCGTGCATTAAGGACGATCCAACAAGAACATCACAATCCCCAGGAAAGTTAATGATCTCGTCCTGAAACACATAGCACCTATGAGAGATTGTTTTTCCTCCCATTTCGAAGGTCATTTGGGTCTCCCCTAGTGCCTTCACCGGTTCTCCTTCCAGTATTCCACTTACGAGCAGTTCACGTGGTACAAGCGGAGAAGGAAGGTTCCTTGGATCCTTGTGGTCCTTCTCTTTCACCTCCTCCTGCTCCCTGTACATGGAATACTTAACCAATGTTGGGCTCGCCCCTGAGTCCCAAACTGCAGTAAAAGACTTTTGACTATTAGGTACCTTAACCTCAGTCATCATGTATCTTGGAAGAGACGATGCTAAGATAGGAATTATCAAGCGTCCTACTCCTTCCTGTACATCTTTGTCTTCTACATTCCTTCTGTTTAGTTGCCGCCCTCTTGGGACGGTGCTGAAGAGTTTTTTTGACTCTTTATCCGCTCCATAGTTTTTCTTTTGTGGACAATCTTTGACTATATGTCCACTTTCCTCACAGAAGAAACACTTAACTTTTGCCGGATTCTTAGGTTTTGTTCCAGTCGTTGGAAACTTCTGTTTAGGTTGAGCGCCTTGACCAACCTTAGATCTTCCCCTTGCTGGTAGATCCTGCTTGGAGCTCCAGCATCGATCCTTAGGATGTGAGTTGTTCCACCCATGAACATTACAGAAATATCTACTTGATTTCTGCCAAGAGATCTTCTTTGGAGGTTCCCTTGGTCTCTCCTCTCTTACCACTGCTACCTGAGCCTTCCCGGTTGCAGCGGTTTTATACCTGGGGCGTAGGGTGGACTGGAAGTGTTTGTCTTTCTCCCCATTTCTTTCCACCCACCTCGTGTAATCTTTTATGATTTGCGAGTATGGTATGGTTTTCAATTTGGCTATGTCCCATTCATCTCCAATTCGGTATTTGTCTAAAGCACCACCAACCATGGTTGTTGCAAGGAATCTCATAGTTACGGCGAGTAATGGGTCTGCCTTAAATGGCCAATCGTGTAGAAGAGTAAAATTCATGTGGAGAGCCTTTTTACTGTGAATCCATTCTTCAAAGGATTCATCCTGGTACCTTTCTGCCTCTCTTAAAGACTCATCCCAGTTCTTCCTCTTTTGAGAGAATATTGCCAAAATACCCTCTTTAAACTCCTCCCAAGAGATGTCCCTGGAGGTTATCATTTGTGCTATCTCCTTAGCATTTCCCTTATCAGGGTGGATGTAACTTGCGGCGAAGTTCACCCTCTCGGCATCTCCCCTGACACCGTTCCGTCCCATCTCTATTTCCACCCGGGCCATTCGCCGGTCAGATCATCCTCATTCCCTTTAAACAGGGGGACACATCGACCTCTTTGCACCATTTCCACTGGTGTAGGCTTTACCACGGCCCCGGCGGAATCTGGTGCTAGTGGTTGGGTTGTTGTAGGCGGTTGTTTAGTCCTTTCTAGTTTTTCCTCCAAGTCTGCAACCTTCTTCAGCAGATCTTCTACCACCTGTTCCATGTCTCCGGTCTCCTCGGCCCACGTACGAGATTCTTGAAGAGCACTGTTCTCCGCTTGAGAACTAGAAATATCTGTCAATTCCCCGCGAATGTCAGAATTTCCTGACTCGGGATCCACGCTTGACGATAGTACCTCGTCACTTAAGTCGGCTACCGCGCCAACTCCGGTGTACACAGAGCCTAATAGGTCTCGTAGACCTGGCTCCCCCGCTATGACAAACGGATCTTCGTCGTCACTACTGTCCGTAGTAGCCGTGTCCCGTCTGTTGCTGTCTTCCCCGGACATGCACAATTACGTTAACTGGTAGCACTGTGTTTTTATTTCCAATGTTCGAGGAATACTTTCCCTTTTTAGTTTTATAGTTTCTTTTCACTTGGAATTACAAGTCTCAGCCAGGCACACGGCCCTCGAAGCCTAACTCGCTAATTCCCACTTAAAAACAACAAGTAGAGTCAGGCACACGGCCCTCGCAACTCTCTTGCGGTTTATTGTCTTTGTGGTTCTTTCACAATGTCACTAAACACCAGTACTACACAGTTGTTCACTTATCGGTAATGTATAACCCTTGTTATTCACACGTAAAAAAATCTATCACTGCCCAGCGAAAAGATATTAAGGAAACCAATATCGATGTAATATGAGATGTATGTACACTGTAATGGTCGGAAAGTTTTGTTGTGTTGTTAGTAAAATAATTTCACTCATAAAACACTTTAACCCTGCAAGAAAACTTTATTGACCAGTATTTAATATTCTAAAAACTT